CACAAAGGTACAGATAAAGACACATTAAGAAATACAATTAAAAATGTAATTCAGTGGGTACAAATCACAGCACCACCACCAGGAGCACCGATTTCCAACTGGCTACACTGCTATTTTTGTTATACCACAGGTGAGTGTTGAGAATATTGTTCAGTTGAGCCACCCCTGGCCAGCAATGCAGGAAAGAATCCCTCATTACTCCCTACCCTACCACTGCACACACAAAATACATGCTTCTGCAGAGGGAGGCAGTGTAGTGAAGATGTGCAAAAATCTGGGGCTTCATGGTCAGAGAGATCTAAATTTAAAGTCTGTCCAATCCCAACACTTATTAGGTACATCATATGGGAAAGTTCCTTAACTCAGCTTTAACATATGCATAATAATACCTATTGAAAGGCTGTTCTGGAATAATGAATATACAACACCTGACTTGGATCTTGACATAAAATGTTGATAAATATCAATTCCCTCTGTCTTGTAGATTTCTAGAGCTTCAGCCTCTGGATGGCCCACCTTCTTCCTTAGCCTATTTACTCCCATCCTGATTGGTTTGCTATTTCCTCTGCACTGGCAGATTTTGAGTCTCATTTTCATAACATAAGATGCTCAGTGTCTGATTCATTTAATAAATATATATTTATTAAGCACCTTCTATGTAGAATATGCTGTATTAGTGCCACTGTTGGATACAAAGATGAATCAGATATCAACCCTACCTGTAGAGTCTTTATAATTTAGGAGGGAAGCCAAACTTGCAGTACAAAGTGGAAAGTGATACATAATTTAAGAAAAGCAGATACGGTGTTGTAAATCAGAGAAATGGGAAACTATTCCCATTTGGGACAATCAGGGAAGACCTCTCGAAGGAGGTGCCACAAAAAATAGGCTTTAAGGATGGATAATGTTACTTGTAAACATGGGAAAAGGGCATTGTCAACAAAGTTATTGTAGGAAAGGGAATGGATACGGGATAGCAAATGGTTTATAGAGAGAATTCCAAATTGCTTCATATGTCTGGAATATGGAGTGAATGAAGTAGAGAAGACAAAGTATAAAGGCAGGTTGGCCTCAAACTGTACAGGACCTTCAAGGCCAGGCTAACAAATATGGGTATTATCTGCAGAGAGTGAAGGTTTCTAAGGAGAGAAACAATATGATCGGTGAGACCAAATCTCTCTTTCTCTGTTGTTCTACTTGAGCAGCCTTACCTCATGAATGGTTATGTGGTCTCATTGTCTGTTCTACATGACAGCAGCTCCTTCCAACATCCCTGAGCAAAATTTATACTATTTCTACTTCAAAGTCCATATCACCCTTTCAGAGCACTCCTAAGTTTTCCTTTTCAGTCTGAATTTGTCAAGGAAATTCAAGCTGATATCATAAATGATTGGTACAATCTGAATTCAAAGAAGGTGCAAGCCTTTCACAAACCCAGTTTATAATTTCTGCTACTTATTCATTTTTCTGATGATAGCATTATAATCACTCATCCACTCCCAGGGGAGTGGCCATTCAGAATTTATCATTACAGGTTTACAATTTTATAAAAACAGCAAGAGACTTTCAGGCATATTAACAGACAGTTCTCAAGAAGATACACGAGATCACAAGTACATTTCAGAATTAGAGGGAGAAATGTCATCACCAGGGGGGAGAAACAAAAAAGCCACCTCTTAAACAGTTTCTTAAAACACTACAAACCACAGTGAGTTCTCTGTAAACCTACAGAGGTAATAAGAGTATATCATGCATATCTCAAATATGCCATTTATTGGAGATTATTTGTTTAGTTATCAGTACCCTCATCTGAACAATTCAATTTGGTTTGAATGGACTGCATCTTCATTTCACTTATTCCTTCTATGCAGGAAAAAAAAAATGCCAGCAAAATGCAGGAGGAGGTGAGGGATGAAAGAAATATGAGCAAGGAGCAAGGAGAAAAGCAACCGAGGAGGATGCAGAGAAAAAGAGAGATGAAAGAAAAAGCAGAAGAGTGAAGACTGGGCCCATGCTGTTAGACAGAACACATGCACTGCCTGATTAACAATACATGTAGCAGAGTGCCAAGTGTGGCTGAATCAATTACCAGAGCCAATTAAATGTACTGAGAGCCCACTGTGGGCTAAGCGCTAAAGATACAGAGATGAATACCGTAAAGCTCCTGCTCTTAACCAGCTGAAAGTTTAGATGAGGAGACTGATAACTAAAATTAAATCACAATATAATGTACTGAAATGCTAAGAGAAACAGGAGCTGTTGAAAAAGCTTTAAGAAAACTGCCAGAGAGAGAGAGAGGATTCTTGAGAGGTGTGCTACTTGTGTGCCTTTAGGTAAGTAAGTCATTGAACCTCTCTGAACCTCATCTCAAAAAGTGATATATCTGGCTGCCTATCTCTAGAGGTTTTGAGATTAAATGAACTCATGGTTGAAAATCCACTCTGCAAACTGAATGTCCTATACCAAGTTACAAGATGGCTATTTACTCATTTCAGCAAAGACCTATTTCAAGCTTACTTTGTGCACTGGGTACCACTACTGTGGGTTTGAGCACTGACCCCTCTCTGGCTTCTCCCTGTTCTTCCACCATCCCAGGCCTTAGCACAACCAATTTGGTCTCCTACCATGTGTTGAGGTAGCACACCCACAAACACACAACCTAGAAAATGATATGAAACACTCACCAGCTTCAGGTTGCTTCCATCCTTGATGCCCACAGAAGGCAGCAGGGTGAGGGGCTGGCACCCTGGGAGAGCCTTTCTGCTGCATTTAACAGCCCTGGTCCTCTCCCTGGCCCTTTTTCCTTGTCTCATCCCCTTCTTTCTTGACTCTCTTCAACACTTCCCTTGTCCCTCTACCCTGACTACTTCTCTCTCCCTGTTACAGTGTTTCTGCTTTCTCTGCTTTACTCAGTCTACCCATTTGGACATTAGTGCTTCTCCTGTTTGAAAACAGTAATTTCTCAAATCTCCTGGAAGATGTCTGTGAGGAGCAGTGGAGAAGGGAGATCAGTGAACCTCCGAAGCAGTATCTGAGAGCCCTATCCACACGCTAGGATTCTCTCATTCATTCTCTCTCTCATTCATTCGCAACTATTCCTTCTTCCCTTACTCCAGTAAAAAAACCTCTGTACACCCTACACTTCTTTCCAAAAATAAAATGATTTCAGGGGAATATATTACTCAGAATAAAGAGGTTCTGGAAAGACACAATCAAGGTAAAATTCTTCAAACAGAACCAGTGACAAATGGATTACTATGGTATTACTGTGGTTAAAAATTGGCATAGAGCTATGGTAAATAAAAGGTTCCCCAAACCTTTCGTTGAGAGATTTTAGGAATATATCACTTCTAAATTTACTAAGCCAGCTCAGTCATTGGCACACTAATCTCGAAATCATAGTTTTAATTCTCAAGGTAGATGATTCCCCCCCCTTTCGCCTTTCTCTCCCCTCTTTCCCTTTTCTTCATATTTGGCGATCCTCTCCCTAGTCCTGACCCCTCTCTTCTTCAGGGAACCTAAGCCCTTGTCCCACTTCCCTTTTTAGTCTCGACACCCCCTTTGCCCTCTCTTGGTCCCAGCGCCCCCTTCTAGTCCTTACCTCTCCCACGCGCCTGTCCCCCGCCGGCTCTGGAGCTTGCTGGGAGAACTGGCGAAGTTTTCCGGAGACTCCGGGCCCAGGGCACGTAGCAGCTCCAGACTCTGCTCCGCAGCCAGTGACCTCACTGAATTTCGCGCTCCTGATTGGCTGCTTCAGGGCTCTCTGGCGGGAGACCCTGAAAAGATTCGCATGGCCAGTTTCTTTGTCTCTCTGCCTCTCCAGGTGGGGTTGGGGAAATAGGCCCGTGTGACACTACAGTACTTCACAGAAGAGTCTAAAAGATACCTATAGTAAGAGAGGAGGTGACTCAGGCCCTGGAGGTGAAGAGGAAAGGGGTTTGGTCCTGCCAGAGGAAGGAGCAGAGTCTGTGATGTAGAGGGCTGAGAGTGGAGTAGGAAGATTTAACAGAGAACTTGAGCACCCCACAGAAGGGAGGTGAAGAGGAAAGGGGTTTGGTCCTGCCAGAGGAAGGAGCAGAGTCTGTGATGTAGAGGGGCTGAGAGTGGAGTAGGAAGATTTAACAGAGAACTTGAGCACCCCACAGAAGGCAACAGTCTGGGAAGGCCTGGTGCAACTTTCAGCCCTAATCATGATCTCTTTCTTCAGTGGTGGGGTGGAAAGGGGTTTGGTCCTGCCAGAGGAAGGAGCAGAGTCTGTGATGTAGAGGGGCTGAGAGTGGAGTAGGAAGATTTAACAGAGAACTTGAGCACCCCACAGAAGGCAACAGTCTGGGAAGGCCTGGTGCAACTTTCAGCCCTAATCATGATCTCTTTCTTCAGTGGTGGGGTCTCACTTTGAAACAAACAGAGCTTTGGATTTGGAATCAGGCATTTAATTTCCAGTCTTTGTTCTATTTGTATGACCTTGGGCAGGTCATTTCATTCTGCTTGCATTTGGCATACTGCCAGGGTACTTATTTTACAGGTTTATTAAAAGGATTAAATGTGAAAGTATGTTATTTATTAAGCCTGTAGTTATTTTAGTGGATAATACGACATAGCAGAAAGAATCCTGGCTAAGGAATGAAAAATCTTCAGTTATCTTTCAATTTTCTTTAGTGACCTTCACCAAGTTACTTTTAACCTTTCTGAGCTTTGTTGTCCTCATCTGTGAAGTGGGATAATGGGGCTGGATGATCTCTTTGGCTCTCACATTATATGATTGACTGATAAAACTTAATATCCTCCTTTAATTCACCCCTTAGAAGAGAAGTCACTTCCTTTTCCAGGAGTCTAGTTAATTGCTTCCCTTTGTGAGAAACCAACCTTCTCTTATGTATCCTCATGAACCTACTTTTATGGGGGCCTAGCCTCTCCCACCTCCCCAACAATGACGGGACAGACCCAAACTGTAGCAGTAAATATGCAGGGCTCATCCTTGATGGAGATTCTCTCCCCAGGCTACTGGCAGGAGCAGGACTTGGAGCTGGGAACTCTGGCTCCACTCGACGAGGCCATCAGCTCCACAGTCTGGAGTAGCCCTGAAATGCTGGCCAGTCAAGGTGAGAATCCAGGTCCCCTCATCTCAATGTCCCTCAGCCCCCTCACTCATCTTCATGTCACCTCCCACTCATGGTGCCATCACCCCGTGTTCTCACTCCCTCATTACCACACAAATCTTTCTCCTGTCCTTTTGACATTATAGTTCTCAGTGCTGCAACCACCAACTTCTCTTGCAACTATTCCTTCTTCCCTTACTCCAGTAAAAAAACCTCTGTACACCCTACACTTCTTTCCAAAAATAAAATGATTTCAGGGGAATATATTACTCAGAATAAAGAGGTTCTGGAAAGACACAATCAAGGTAAAATTCTTCAAACAGAACCAGTGACAAATGGATTACTATGGTATTACTGTGGTTAAAAATTGGCATAGAGCTATGGTAAATAAAAGGTTCCCCAAACCTTTCGTTGAGAGATTTTAGGAATATATCACTTCTAAATTTACTAAGCCAGCTCAGTCATTGGCACACTAATCTCGAAATCATAGTTTTAATTCTCAAGGTAGATGATTACTTGAGAAGCATTCCCATGGAAAGAGCTCTACATTGGGAGGCAGAACAGAGTTCTAGTCCTGACTAGGATTAGTAGACTGATCTGCTCAATCATTTCACCTCCACTGTTTCATTGCCCACATCTGTAAAATGAGGGAATTGGATTCCATATCCCTAAGATCTCCCTCAGTGCTCATTTTTTCAATTGTAAACACTAAAATTAACCACCAGGCTTTGTGCTCTAGTTTGGTAACAACCTCCCCGAATGGTTGATGTTTGGTATCGTGTCGGCACGTGCCCCTTCGCCCCACATCGGCTCTTCTCTGCTAGGAGCGCTTGTTGTACATTTCTTGGAAATGGAGTTCCAGTGAACAAGAAAGAAAGTGCCAAAGGAAGCCTGGGATAGTTTTTAAAATGCTCAGTAGAGGAATGTAGGAAGTTTAGTTTCTTGGTTTCCTATTCAGAGGGGAGCAGTGCTGGTTAAGTAATTTCAGGCCACAGAACAGATTTTATGGATGTTTCAGAATCAGAACTGGAAGGAGTTATTTATTTTAGATTAGTTTTCTGGAGATCGGTGCTATTGGGTCATAGAAAGTCAGTTCTGAAGATGAGTGGGTCAATACTGGGAATCAGACCCATGTTGTGGGGAATATGGAACAGTACTGGGTGGAGGAAGCAAGCATCAATGAGTCTGAGAGGCTCACAGCTAGGCCTGACTGGAAGGCACATTTGGGATGCAAATGGTTTATCCATAAGATGCCTATTGTCCTTGTTTGTTTTGTTTTGTTTAACTCGACTAAGGAGAGGGGGAATAGAAAGCGTATTTTCATCCCATTGAAGATAAAACTTTAGTTCTCCACTCTTTAAAATGGTAGCAAGATGGTGATTTGGGTTGGGAGGTGGGTAGTGCTAACTCTGAAGGGAGTGTGTGAAGGGATTTGATTGAAGGGAAGTTATCATTAGAAGACTAGAAAAGTATGTCAAAATGTTTCTGTTTTTATTTTTTATATTTTGTTTGTTTGTTTGTTTTGCAGTTTTATCAGCTACCTCTTGTGGAAATGAATGTACAACCCAAGGGCTGGTGTGGCCTTTTCCCCATTCTAGTTTTGGGATTATTTCTCACAACTGCTTATCCTGTTCTTACTCTCATATGTAGGTGGTGGCAGGAAGGCAGAACACAGAATGACAGATATGTATGTGTGTTTTCAAAGGTGAATGGTAGAACCATATCAGAAAAGATACACGTGGAGTGGTATGTACAGATTTGGGGTGCTTTTATTCATCTAAATGTTTGTGGCTCTGTCAGTTCATTCAGAAAATATTCAACAGGTGACTCTGGTTTTTTTGTGTGTGTATTCAAAGCAAGAAGAAATAAGGTCTGTTTCCCCTCCAACACCACCACCACCTCTATTCCTTCCCCTGTGAAGCTTTAAGAGTACTCAGAGAACTTGTGTACACCAAAGCTTTTCATGGTCTGAATTAGATGAAGTGGACTTTGGCCCAGAAACAGGTGGAGGGGCTAGGGGTTCCTCAGTAAACTAACCCTACTCTACTCCTGCAGACAGTCAGCCCTGGACATCTGACGAAACAGTGGTGGCTGGTGGCACCGTGGTGCTCAAGTGCCAAGTGAAAGATCATGAGGACTCATCCCTACAGTGGTCTAACCCTGCCCAGCAGACTCTCTACTTTGGGGAGAAGAGAGGTAGTATCCCTTGAGTTATCTGTCTCCTTGGGAACCATGGCCCGGGAAAGGGGAATGCAGAACGTGAGGAGAACTGTTCCTATAGTCCAGAGGGTGAGAAACATGGAGGTATGCTATTTGAGGAAGCGACAAGCCATGGGCTTCTCAACTGGTACCAAAGAAGCTTCAGTATTACAGCTCTGAGCTAGACCATGCATAGTCTTATAGGGTCGTGGAGTGACTTCACCCCAAAGGTGCCCTAACAGGCTGCTGATGTCAGTGTCGCCCAAGGTATCTCACAAGGAAGCACACAAGACCCAACCTACTTTTCTGAGTATCTCTTAGACTACTATGCCCAGTGGCCCAGAAAAGTGGCTGGATGACCATAAGACCGCTCAAAGTCAGGAGCAGGTTTTTCCCCACACTGCTCCACCATACTAGACCCTTTCCCTAAAGGAGCTGGCCTGGGATTGATAGATAAACATAAAAGGTGCCAAGAAACCTGGCTTCCAATTCTCCCAATTTCCCCAGCCCTTCGAGATAATCGGATTCAGCTGGTTAGCTCGACTCCCCATGAGCTCAGCATCAGCATCAGCAACGTGGCCCTGGCAGACGAGGGCGAGTACACCTGCTCCATCTTCACCATGCCTGTGAGAACCGCCAAGTCCCTCGTCACTGTGCTCGGTGAGGCTCCCAAACCCCAGTGTCTCCACAGCTTGCTTTCTTGCAAACAAACCTCCCTAGGTGGGCCCCTGAAGCAGTCTGGAACCAGGCAAGTCTCCAAGCATTTTGGAAAAGTTCAGCCTGTGTTTCCCTTGCAGTGAGATAAAATGCAAAGAACTAGGTTCGAATCCTTTCTGCTCTACTTACTATTTGATCTGGGACAAACCTCTTACTTTCTTTGAACCTGAATTTCCTAACTTGTAATAGAGGGATGATCATGTTCAGTCTACCTGTCTCTCAGGATTGTGTGTGGGAAACATGAGATGTGCATGCAACGTATAGTTATAATTTCCAAGACAAGTACTACAGTTACTTACATGTTCTCAACTTTATCCTGTAATTCAATTTCCTTCTTTGCATCCCTGAGTCTCACACTATTTCTATTGCTGCCTCATTGTGTTATGAGGTGTCGAGTCACATATCACATCTCAGGTATGGTATATCTCCCCACTACCATATCTCCTCTCCCAGGTCTTCCCTTCTTGTCCTCAGGGAGGAGATCAAAGAGAAAGATGATTTCTCTAGTTTTCTATCTATCATAAACCAAACTAGAAGCAGGTATCCTGACCCCCAAAGAGGCCACCTCTACAGGGAGAGCTGAACTATGACTTAATGGTGCCTCTCCTTCCCATTCTGGCCATCCCCTATTCATGGCAGGAATCCCACAGAAGCCCATAATCACTGGTTACAAATCGTCATTACGGGAAAAGGAGACAACAACCCTAAACTGTCAGTCTTCTGGGAGCAAGCCTGCAGCCCAGCTCACCTGGAGGAAGGGTGACCAAGAACTCCATGGTGAGTACCCGCTGCCTCAGGGTTACAGGAGGAGGTCGTACTGGGAAGGGGAGTGTGCAGAGAAAGAGAGAAGGGAAGGACTTGTCTATGTGTGTGCACTTAAGGCATGATAAAGAAAGAGATTGGGGCAAGAACTCCATGGTGAGTACCCGCTGCCTCAGGGTTACAGGAGGAGGTCGTACTGGGAAGGAGAGTGTGCAGAGAAAGAGAGAAGGGAAGGACTTGTCTATGTGTGTGCACTTAAGGCATGATAAAGAAAGAGAATGGGCGATTGACAGATATTTTGTGTACACTTGTGTGTGTGGATGTGTGTCGGGCCCACATTCTCCCTGTGTGTACATATCCATTTCACAACTTTCTAAGTTTGTCTTACTTGAGACTCACCATCTGTATGTCTGCAGTGGGGCCCACACGATATCTGTATGTGAGGACTCACTCTGTGTGTGTGTGTTTGTGTCTGTTTCTGCACTCTAGGGGAACCTACCCGAATACAGGAAGATCCCAATGGTAAAACCTTCACTGTGAGCAGCTCAGTGACATTCCAGGTCACCCGGGAGGATGATGGAGCAAACATCGTGTGCTCTGTGAACCATGAATCTCTAAAGGGAGCTGACAGATCCACCTCTCAACGCATTGAAGTTTTATGTATGTCATGGGCTTGGGGGTGAAGAAGGACCAGGTATGAGATGGGGCATGGGGAAAGGAGAGTGCAGATGACTGTACATGAAAAAATGTGTGCACATAAGAAAATAGGTAACAGCTGAGACAGGAGGTGGTGGGACTAGGCCAAGGGTTGGAAAACTCTTACAGTAAAGAGCCCAATAGTAAATATTTTAGGCTTTGAGAGCCGTATGGTCTCTGCCTCACCCATTTAACTCTGCTGTTGCTGCAGGAAAGCAGTCACAGACAATATGTAAACAAATTAGCTGAGCTATGTTCCAATAAAACTTTATCTACAAAAGCACACAGCTGACAGGATTTGGCCCAGGGGGTAAGTTTAACAATCCCTGGGCTAGGCTGGTGTAGTGCCACTAGATTGTACACTGTAGTGGTAACTGTAGCAAATCAGGAGTTCCAGGATGTGGTTCCTAGTCTGCACTTACTAGCTGAGAGATGTTAAGAAAATTCCTTTACCACACTGAGTTTGATTCTTTATTTGCTAAACGATGAACATGGGGATCACCGAGACTTCTCAGTCTAACATTCTATTATTTTAGGAAAATGCTAGCTGAGAGATGTTAAGAAAATTCCTTTACCACACTGAGTTTGATTCTTTATTTGCTAAATGATGAACATGGGGATCACCAAGACTTCTCAGTCTAACATTCTATTATTTTAGGAAAATATGGATGGTAGGAACACAGTCTCTCTGGCATCATTAGTCCCAGATCTTTTCCCTAGTGAGCACTCCCTATTTGCCCCAGCTCCGCGATTTTTTCTTGGGATTCCAACCTGAAATGGCCACTGTCACTTTCACTACTCCTAACCTTTCCAAAGACTGTCATCCCCTCCATAGAATCTGTCTGTACTATAGACAGGACACTTCTGAGAAGTTTGGAAATCTGGAAATTTCTCATCTGAGGAAATTAGGAAATTTTCAAAAAGAACTTTTCTGGGAGGAGGAACCAAGAAAAAAAGAAATACTAAAGTGTGAAGACAGAAGATCCTCATAAAATAGTACATTTATTATCCTAAATTATCTAAAAGTTGGACAGTTTTAAAAAATTACTAAAGCCCTTAATCTCCTTCTTATGGGAGACCCAAGTCCGATTACTTTTCCTGACTTTAATGTTATTTAATCAGTTACTGGGCCCATCACTCAAACTTTAACCTGAGGTAGGAGTGGGTGTCACCACCTGTCCATTTGGTAGATGCTCAATCGATCTGCAGACAGACAAGCTGGGGATTCCAGCCACCACATCGTTACTTCCTAGCAGTATTATGTTGACCAAAACATTGAATCTCTTTATGGCTCCTACTTACTTCGCTGAGTTATTGTGAGGATAAATGAAACAACAATGTGTATGAAAGAGGTTTGTAAACTTCAAAGGTCTATATTGCTGTAAGGTGTTTCTCTAATGATTAGTTCTGGTCTTGGGCTCTTCCCCCCCTAGCCCTGGTCCATGGCCAGGGCTAAGGAAGGCCCTTTCCTGTCTGATCCCCAAAGAGTCATCTCTTAAATGCCAGACCCTCTGGCAGTTACTCTCCAGGGGCCCTTTTAGTCCAATTGTGATCAGCAGTTAGTCAACAAATACCATACTCCAGGCCCTGTGCTTGAGGTCTCTATGGCTGTGGGTCTTGGAAAACCCATTGCCTCACCTGGCTTGATTCTTTGTCCTGTTTGATTTGACTGAAACACGTTCATTAACTGGTTGTTCAGGTTGGCTCTATCCTTAGGGGAAGCTCAGCCTCTTTATCTGTTGTTCCCAACCAGCATCTGGTTGTATTGTTCTAAGCGACCATCTGGAGCTAGCCTCTTAAGCAGCCCTTTGGCGTTGATGACATATGCCATTATTCCTTTGCAGAGCCCATCTATATTGTGTCAGTGCCTTTTTGCAGCCAAAATCTGACCCCCATCTCTTGCCGTTTCCAAGCTTTCTCTTCATGTTTGGACTGACCATTCAAAATGATGTTTTGTGTTCAAGTGTTGCTTCCAGTTCTAAACTCCCTTGCTGGGCACAGAGAACTGAAGGTTGTGAGCTCAGTAAGTGGCAAGTTCAGGTTTATTTAGTCTGTCAAAAATATGTATTAGGTCCCACTATGTGCTAGGCAGTTTGCTAGACACAGATGAACCACTTTTAGCCTTTCTCACCTCTCTGTTAAGATATTCCTTAGGGCCCCACCCAGACAGACCCCCCCTGGAATCATATCACTATGGAGTTACAATATAACAAATCCCCCCACACTTTTGATAGCAATAGTGGTCTTTGCTCACAAGAGGTAAGGGGAGGAAAGTCTTTGTTGACAGTCTCTTGGGCTCCTAGGACACTTAGGGGTAGAAGCCGTAGTTTGTAGCTGGGTGATTTCAAGAATAAAGGGAGCTCCTAAGTGGTGTGGGGAGTTTTGCGTTGACACCATTTCCTTCTCCGCAGACACACCAACCGTGATGATTAGGCCAGACCCTCCACATCCCCGAGAGGGCCAGAAGCTGTTGCTACACTGTGAGGGCCATGGCAATCCAGTGTAAGAAGATCCATTTCCTGGCCTCTAATATATCTCCACCTCTCAGACTGTTAGCTTCACTTAGCATCTCCTTCCCATCTCCTCTGTACTGTCCGAACTGAGCCCCCTGTTTCCCCAACTCTGTCCTGCAGATCTGTCCTGATTGTTTCTTCTGCAAAGCAGCAGAAGTGGGGAGGGGCTGCTCCCTAGCTTAATCCCTGAGGTTCCCATAAGGAGCCAAATTATAGTAAGATATAAATTAAGAAATCCCCATCATCCCCAGAATGAACTCCAAGAGGCCACCTGCCCCTGCCTCTGAGTAGGTTGGTGTTTCTGGCCCCTATAACTTACTGTCACTCATCGAACAGTTCTTAATTCCTCTGCTCCCAGATATTTTTTCTCCCTTTGGCTCCGTGGCCTACGCTCTTGTGAACACTTTTGATTTGTCTGCCTCAACAGCCCCCAGCAGTACCTATGGGAGAAGGAGGGCAGTGTGCCACCCCTGAAGATGACCCAGGAGAGCGCCTTGATCTTCCCCTTCCTCAACAAGAGTGACAGTGGCACCTACGGCTGCACAGCCACCAGCAACATGGGCAGCCAAAAGGCCTACTACACTCTCAATGTTAACGGTGAGCCCTTCTCAGATCTCCCCTGCCAGCATTTCCTTTCTCTGTCCATCTTACTTGAGAGCAACTACTGATAGCATGACTGTGTGGGAGCAAAAGGAAAACAGCCTACCATTGGAGGGCCTGAGGACTTAGGCTCTAGATCCACTCTAGAATGTGTCATAACAAAAAGTCAATAGAAGGGGGGCTCTCATCTGTCTTTGTTTAGCAATGGTGGCCTGATTGATGACATCCTCCAACCCCTGCACTCACTTAATAACAAGAATAATTCTGCATTTAGAGGCCATAGAGCCTTTCAGCTGCAGATGTGGATGCATGTCCCTCTCCAAGGGGCTATTCTCAGAGTGGCTTCTCCTATGACTGAATATAGGGTGCATGATACTCTAACATTTCCTTTTCTGTAGACCTCGGGCACATTAATATGGACCTGGGCAGAAAAGAGAGATAAGCTTGTACTATGCTGAGAGATAGTCAGAATCTTTGCTCAGGTGCCAAGTCTTCTGGAGGGACCAGGTGATGCTTCTTCTCTGAAGTTCTTCTCAAAGCTGTGACCACAAAACCAAGCCTCTGGAGAAGTGACAGGCTAGCACAGAGGCCCCTTTATAGAGAGTTGGCAGGAGATTTTTTGAAGATTACAATGGCAGTGAAGTCCTGCCAAAAAGTCTTATAAGCCTTTCCTCAGAATAGTGGAAATGCATTGTTGGGGGATCTTCAGAGGTCCCTTACTTAAAATACTCATTAAAGCAGCAAAGGGGTAACAACCAGTCCTCCCAGGGATAAGAGGTCCAAGTTCCTGGGACCAGGATGTCTGGATGGGTGATTCCAACTACAAGGGCAGACCTCAGCATGTGGGAGCCACTTCAGCACAACAGACAAGGCTATTGTAAGATGCCAGGAGGAAGGACAATGCACTGAGGTTCATTTTCTGCCCCCAGATTTCTCCAGACTAACTGTAACTATGATTGGCACTGAAAGTTCTGTGCCCCAGCGGTCCATATATCTTGCTAATCTCCCTCCACTCCGTGCTCAAAAGCCCAGCACAGCGAGTAGTTTGACTGCTTCTGCTTCCAGTGCTGACGCCTGGTGGTGGCAGGAGTTACTGCATCCTCCTCCGGCAACATCCTCAGTGGGCCTGAAATGATATTAAATGTAGCTCTACCTAGAGACAGGGACCTGTAATTGAGGACACCAGAGGTCGTTTTGGCCAAGGAAACCTGTACTTTTCTTCCATTTCCATAGCCTCTGGAATAATTATCCAGGATTGTTTTTCAATGTGAATTGTCTCTCCCGTACTTCCGGGGAGAAAGACATTGTGTAAACTCGCTCGGCTTCCTGCAAGTTATACTATCACATCCACCCCATCATACCACAGAGTCCCAAGGTCCGTCCTCTCCCTCCCTCCCAAGCAGAGCATAAAAAACCACAGTACAAATGTTTTATTTTCAAATAAGGCACAGACAGGCAAGGAACAAAAAAGCTGGCCCAGCCAAGCCTGAGAGGACATAAGGTAGGAAAGACAAACTATATAAGGAATCAATGAGGCGTCAGGACTCAAGCTGAGTCTGTGGAAAGCAGCAGCTCTCCCATGGGTGGGAGAGCCATATCTATGGCTAATGTAATTTTGATACACCAGAACTGCGTCCTGGGCCTGTGCACTTGTCCTCAGATATTTGGGACGCTGACTGTGGCTAGTGCTGTCCTTGCCACACCTGGCCCAGTCTGTGCTGTGGGAATTTATCTTTTGCATACATATGGTGCTGTGGATGACAGATTCTGTAAAACCGTCCAATGGCACAGATGTCACCATCATGGGGAAAAGCAATTCAGTCCTTGTTCTTCCCACAAACTTTTAGATGGTGGCAAAGTGAATGTGGGGTTCCAGTCCTCCTTGTTGGGACAGGCTAGAGGATTGAGCTAAATTCCTCTGCCAAGAAGGAACACTGTTCTTTATACAAGGTTACAGTCTATTATATTTCATAAGGTACCATCAAAGTGCTTAGTCCCTGGCTCCATCAGATTTTCACTGCTCCTTCCCTATTTGATCTCAGGGCAGTGGGTGAATAATCTGAGAAGCCCCCTAGAGCAACCAGCTCAGAATTATCAAGCAGATAGGAGGGTAAGAGGACATGAGAGATAGGGAAGGAACACTTTCAAAATCCAGAAATGGGGGGAAGGGGGGGAGAAAGGACAGGAAGAAAAGAAAGGAAAGAAAGATTATTGGGATTAAAGCAATGGTCTTTGACCAAGGTCAAGATTTTGTGCCAAAAACTCAACTTGGATGGTTGGGTGTGAGCAGACTTATTTATTTATTCATGAATACATCAATGTTTTAAAACAATTACTATATTCCAGGAACAGTGCAAAAAACTAGAGCACAAAATAAGGCATATCCCCTTTGCTGAATGATGCTGTTCCCTTGTCCCGTCCTCTGCTGTGTAAGACCACCCGTGACCAAGTCAGAATGCTGTAAGATAAGGGTTCTCCCCGGATCTGACTGTGTACATCCCCGTTCCTCCAGACCCTAGTCCGGCATATCCCCTTTGCTGAATGATGCTGTTCCCTTGTCCCGTCCTCTGCTGTGTAAGACCACCGGTGACCAAGTCAGAATGCTGTAAGATAAGGGTTCTCCCCGGATCTGACTGTGTACATCCCCGTTCCTCCAGACCCCAGTCCAGTGCCCTCATCCTCCAGCACCTATCACGCCATCATTGGTGGGATCGTGGCTTTCATCGTCTTCCTGCTGCTCATCCTGCTCATCTTCCTTGGCCACTACTTGATCCGGCACAAAGGTCAGAGGCATGAGGGAAGCACCAGGAGAAATTGGGAGGTGGGAACAGAGATTCACCAGAGGCAAGCAGGAAGAGAAGCTGCAGGAATGGGCCTTTGGAGACTCAGTCAGCCCCTTGGAGTGTGTGAGAAAGAAAAAGTGCAGCCAACCCCATCAGTGCCAACCCTGTGATAACCGAGCACCACCAGCCCTGCAGTAAAGCCTGATGACTTGGCAATCATCCAAGTGCATTCAGACCTTCCCACTCAGTCAGATGCTGCTCCCAAGCTACTCTACCTCTAGGGTCTCTGCTGTAAGACAGCTCCCGAAACTGCACCTCCGTCCCATTTCTTTCTGTACTTTCTTCCTTTCTATCTGCTTAGCTTCAATCCCTTCTGTGACCTCCTCTCTTCTTGTCACCACGTGATCTGTTTTCTTTTTTCCCCCTTTTTTCCCACCGTCCCTCCTGCACACATGCCATCTCTCCAGCCTCACCTAATATTCCTCCCTCTCAGACCCTCTGCTGTTATGACTTCTAGTCAGTAGCCTGACCCCACGGGCTGATCAAATGTAAGCCAGATCTCAACTGCATTGCTCATGAAGCTGTTCACGGCACCCCCCCCCCACCAGCTTGCACACGCACACACGCACATACACCTCTTTTTATTTTTATGTTTTGGCCTGTAGCATAGATGAGATTCTAATTAAGGACAGGATTTATTATCCACTGGGAGGGGTGTCAGGTGAGGGCCATTGGCAGCAAAAGGCAAATTAGATAAGGTGGGGTTCCCTGCTGAAACTCTATTCAAGAGAAACTTTACAGGGGCAATGTGTGAGTGGGTGGGCAGGAAAGGGAGCAGGGTGGACTTCAGAGGTTTGGGAGCTGCTCCTGAAAGGAGGAGCCTCTGTCTCCCCACAGGAACCTACCTGACACACGAGGCTAAAGGCTCGGATGACGCCCCAGACGCCGACACGGCCATCATCAATGCAGAAGGCGGGCAGTCAGGCGGGGAGGACAAGAAGGAATATTTCATCTAGGGGCGCCCGCCCACCTCCTGCTCATCCCACAGGCCCCATGGGGACTGCTGGGGCCGTCACCAACCTGGACTTGTACAGAGCGACCCCAGGGCTGCCCCTCCCGCTTGCTCCCCTGCCCACCCACCCCCCTGTACAGAATGTCTGCTTTGGGTGCGGTTTTGTACTCGGTTTGGAATGGGAGGGAAGGGGCGGGGGGGAGGGGAGGGCTGCCCTCAGCCCTTTCCGTGGCTTCTCTGCGTTTGGGTTATTATTATTTTTGTAACAATCCCAAATCAAATCTGTGTCCAGGCTGGAGAGGCGGGGGCTTAGGGGTGAGGAAAGCAAAAACAAAAACAAAAACAAAAACAAAAGAAAAAGAAAAAGAAAAAACAGAAACAAAAAAGCAAAACAAAAAGCAAACTGGAGTGTTAGGAGGATAATGAAGGTAGAGGGGAAGGGAAGGGAAGGGAGCGGGGCTGGCTTGGAGCTGGGGGCTCTCACCAGCTCTCCTTCCTCCGCAATAGAGCAGTTTCCCAGACTTCTCCAGGAGCAGGAGGGTTGGGAGCAGGGGCTGGCGGTGGCTTTTCCTCTGTCAGCGGGGAAGCCGTCGCCACCCTAACACCCCTCTTCCATCGCAATGGAAAAGAGGTGGACGGGGGAGTCCCGGCGGGGGTGTGAGCAGCAGAAGGCACGCAGCCACGCAGAGACCCAGGTCTTCAACAAGGGGAGGACGCGTGTGCCTGAAAGGAAGGGCAGACCTGCAGGAGCATGGCGTAGGTGGCGGCGGCCACATCTGCACAGGAGCCGCCCTTGGGGGACGGCAGAGCGCAGCTGCCCCTCCGCTACGCTGGGGCCCGAAACGCGGTTGCTTCCTCCGAGAGGGCCCCGCACTCTTACCCAAGACCTGGGACTGTTGCATGGCAACCAGCCACGCCACTCACGGAGTTGCTCAGCAACTGCTCCTCCCCATCTTGTGCCGCCCTGCGTCCCCTTCTCCTTCCCACGCCAGCCCTCAGCAGCCGGGCAAACTTAACAACAAAAATACTAAAAGGCGCTTCATTGCACTGAGCTGTTTCCTGCCCAGACTAAGGGAATAATGTGAACCGTGTGCGCGTGCGTATGTGTGTGTGTGCGTGAGAACAGAGGGTCGAGGTGGGCACGTGAAGGAGGGCTTTGGGAGTGGAGGATGCCTAGCCAGGGTCAGTCCGTCAGGACGTTGCTCCATCCTGCTGTGTCTCATGCCGCCCCCCGTGCCCATCCGTCTTGGAGAAAGGAGCCCCAGGCTGTGTTTTTGCCCAGCTGTCCGTTCCGTCTCCCCCTGAAACTCAGAGTATTCAGGCCCTCTTGGTTTCCCTCCTCCGAGCCGTGGAGTCAGTGCCACAGCCTTTGCTATGCACCCCTCAGGCAGCTCCCTGGCGCTGACCCTGCAATGACCTTCCGTCACTTGTCACTTCTTTTTCCATAGTCTGCACCCAGTGAGTTGAGGGCTGGGTCGCACCCCCGCTTTTGGCTCTCTGTCTTCCTTCTCATGCCCCTCCCAGCTGGTTGCCATGGAGATGAGGTTGCTCCCCCCTCCCCGCCCCGCCTCAGACCCAGGGTGCCCTCTGCACCACTCGCGCCCTCCTCTGGAATGTCCTCCCTGCTTTGACAACGGACAGGCAAAAAAAAAAAAAAAAAAAAAAAAAAAACCCGGGAGGCTGCAATCCGAGAGTTCCGCCTACCCTCTTCAGTTCAGGTAATGCCTCTGAATCTTCCAGCCAGACGCTGGGCAGGGCCCTGGGCACCGTGCGCAGCCCCTCACCTCCGCAGAGGCCCCTCCTCTCACAGCAGCAGGGGAGCCTGGGCCCCAGGCCTGCCAGGCTCCTTGTTTCCCAGCACCCGCTTTTGGGAAAATGACGTTTCCTCTTCGAGCTGAACCACTCTGTCCATATTACACAGAAGCCATATTTGTATGGGGGGCGGGGGGAGAGGGGCCTTGTGCTGTGTGTGTCTGTCAGTTGGGGGGAGGGTGCAGGGAGGGGATCTGGATCATGTATCTTTATAATCTTTCTAACTCTCCTGTGCTAATCTCAGAGGTGCCACCCTCAATATATCTGGATTATCCGTGTCGTTGGGCTGCCTCCTTTCTGCTGCTCTGCTACTACCGGCATGTGTGTCTGTTAAGGGCTGTTAAGGGTATCCCTTGCGCCTGGTGCTGGTACCTCAAGGGTGACCTATCCATGCCATACCACTCTCCCAAGGGCATATATGTGTGGAAGCAACATCACGCTGAGGGAGAGAAGTGTGTCCACCCCCTTTTGCTGGGCCCTTGCATTCCACAGTGTCTGCAGTGGGGCTCCTGACTGCTCCCCCAGCCCCCGGTCCTGCCCTGCCCAGCTGGAAAATGCTGAGATGGAGGTGGAGACAACATCAACACTATCCGGGAGAGCTTCACCAAACCTTCGCCAAACTCACTCTGTAGTCCCCCTCACGCTGAACCTGGAACTTGAGATAGTGCCCTGTGAGAAAAGAGGGAAATCTCTACAAGGTACCCGTCCTTTTGCACCTTGGTCTGAGGTGCTTTGTCCCCAGGTACCCTTATTTGAATGGGGCAGAAGGTCCTTGACAGAATTGGGGTTAAAACATCCCGTGTATTCTTGGACAAATGAAGCAGGGTTCCCTAACCAATCCTCTCTATCTCATTGTTCTGACTTGGACACTCCATGGCTCACCCCTCCCAAAGTCCAGGCTACGTCTCCCCAGCTAGGAAATAAAATGCAAAGAGAAATGATGAGACAGCAGAGATACTGGGAAAGCCACTGGGGAAAGGGACTACAGAAGAGAAGAGGCAAAGGAGGCTTAGGAGAATCCACCTGCAGGGTAGATGCCCTTCCTGCCCGCCAGAGAGATATAGCAGTTCTTCCCCTATATAAGAAACTTTATATATTGCTAAGATACCAGGCTAGTGAAGCAGTTCCAGAACCATTATGTCCCCCAACAGAAATATGAACAGAGATTACCCCGTGGGCAACCGTCCTATCTTAAAATATGCCATCCCATTGTCCCCCAGAGCTGACTTTAACTTGTCAGAGTGTTCTGCTTGGTATGGAAGATGCATTCACTGCACCCATAGGTGACTAGGCAAATGCCCAACTGTTCCCTAAAGCAGCTTTGCTGTGCAGCCTGACAGCCACCCCCAGCCCTCCCTCCTCTCACACTGAAACACCCAGACCTAGAGATAGCAATACACACACCCAGACTCCCACCCAGCACCTCACACACAGATATGTGCACCCTGACACACAACACTCAGGCACAGATAAATAAGAACATTCTCATACCCAGTCTGATACACACAAAGAGCCCACACCCACAATCATACCCCTCAGGTTAGACGGATCAACCACCAGCACCATGAAGACCCCTTCCCACAAACACATCGCTGTTGAACTGCCTTTCCTTGGATCAAGTTCAAGCGGATAGTCACCCGCTGCCCTTTCATTCCAGCTTCCCAGCACTTCTCTTATCTTTGCCTCACAAGTCACCCCGGCCCCTCTTCCTTCCTTGTGCTTGAAGAAGCTCTTGTAGCTGGAAAGCCCCCTGGTTTCCCAGCCTCCCTTTCCACCTTCGGGAAAATGCCCACCTCCTGGTCCCCACCTTCTTCCCTTCCAGAGTGCAATCCCCATCAGTCCAATCCATCTTCAAAACAGGAAGCCACAGGCTAGTGCCCCATGTAGGCCTGAGGCTTGGCAGGCAGTGGGCGTGGAACAAAGGCTTCCTGAATATACCCCCACCCCCCACCACATGGCCCTGCCCAGAACCTGATGGCCCTCATTAGTCCTTGGCACTTATCTTGGAACCACAGCCACCGACAGAGCCACCCCAGACTTTCTCTCTGCCTGCTCTGAGCTCAACAGTGCCATGGGGAACTGTCTGTACCCGGTGAGTGTGAGGCCAAGCCCCACAACCTCTGACCTCTTTGTCTCCCATTCTCCATTCTGTTTGCCCCTCAGATCCTTCTTTATACCTCTTCCCTTTTCTCCTCATCTCAAACCTTTCCTCCTTGTTCTGTCACTTTTAAAAATCTTTTTTTCCTTCTCTCCTTCCTACTCCAGTCTCCTAGCTCCCATTACTTTCCTTTTCATTTGCTTTTCAGTCAGTTCCATCCAGGCAGCTCATTACCTCCCCTCTGACCTCCTCCTCCCACTCCTCCAGTCCTTACCACTACCCTTCCTGGCTTTTCCTTGACTCTTGCACAGGTTCCTCAGTATCTGTCCTTTATCCTTTTCCACCAACTCCACTGCATCTGGCTTGCACAGCTCCATTGTTCTCCCAGCCCATGCTCCCCCTCTGCCCTCCCCCACCCTCCCCTCCCCCCAGATCCCAAGAGACTGTCCAGTGGAGTAACTAGATGCCCTGATTGCCCGCTCTGGGTATGTCCTCTAGGTGAATCCCTCCGTCTTAATGGATGAGAACACAAGTCAGATAGTCTTTGAAGGATACAACTGGAGCGAATTCTATGATGAGAATGAGTCCCTTTCCTATGACGACAACCTGGAAGCAGCCGCCCCCTGCCACTCCTGTAACCTGCTGGATGACTCCTCACTGCCCTTCTTCATCGTCGCCAGTGTCCTGGGCATCCTCGCAAATGGAGCTGTCCTCTTTGCGCTTATCAGACCTCTCTTCCACTGGCAGTTGTGCCCTGGCCGGCCTTTCCTGGTACAGTTGGCTGTGAGCAGTGCCCTCTTCAGCATCTTGGTGCCCATCTTGGCACCAGGGATAAATAGTGCCCACAGCACCACCACCTTCTTCATCGTCGCCAGTGTCCTGGGCATCCTCGCAAATGGAGCTGTCCTCTTTGCGCTTCTCAGACCTCTCTTCCACTGGCAGTTGTGCCCTGGCCGGCCTTTCCTGGTACAGTTGGCTGTGAGCAGTGCCCTCTTCAGCATCGTGGTGCCCATCTTGGCACCAGGGATAAATAGTGCCCACAGCACCACCCTGTGCCAGCTGGGCTATGGGGTCTGGTATGGCTTGGCCTTTGCCCAGGCTCTGCTGATAGGATGTCGGGCCTGCCTGGGCCCCAAACTGGGTGCACACCGGGTCTCAGGCATTACCCTAGGGCTCACTGTGGGACTTTGGCTAGTGGCTGCCCTACTGGTGCTGCCCATCACCCTGCCTAGTGACACTTCCCACAGATTCTGCTCCAGTAGAGGCCTGGGGACTTGGCAGTCTATACACATTGCAGCCTGTTTTGCCATCTTCATTGTGTTGCCTCTGGGTTTGTTCGGAGCCATGGGACTGAAGAAGGCACTGGGCAGGGGGCCAGGCCCCGGGGTTGATATCCTGTGGGTCTGGTTCATGTTCTGGTGGCCACATGCAGTGTTTCTGGGATTGGACTTCCTAGTGAGGTCCAGGGTCTTCGTATTGCCAACATGTCTGGCCCAGAAGGTTCTAGACCTGCTGCTGAACCTGGCAGAAGCCTTGGCAATATTGCACTGTGTGGCTACGCCCCTGCTCCTGGCCCTGTTCTGCCACAAGGCCACCCGTACCTCCTTGCCCTCCGAACCCCTCCCTGCAAGATGTTCTTCTCATCTGGACACCCTTGGAGGCAAATCCTAGCTCTCTTCCCACCTGTCAACCTGAATTAAAGTCTACACTGTTTTTATGAAGCAGATGGTTTCTTATTTTGTCTGGGGATAAAGAGGAGAGGAAAGAGAATGGAGAAAGAGAGACATCTCGTGCCAGTCTTTCCTGCCAGGGTCTGTTTCTCTAGCTGGCCTGGGGAGAGAGTGAACGAGCAATAAACATCCTCAGGGCACACAGATGTTCTCTTGAGGTGTGGGGTTACTGCCATCTTAAGGGGGAAGGGAAGAGCAACTAGAATGTTAGAGCAGCAACTAATCCTAAAGAATGAGAAGAGATGGCTTAGCAGGTCAACAAAGGAGAGAAGCTGTTGCAGAGCGCAAATGGAATAGGAAAAGGAACCAGAGAGAGAAAAACAGACAAGAGTGACAACAAAGCCTGGAAATGTATCACCTCCTCCTATCTGACCCGTCCAGACTCTCTCTCTGTCTGCCTTTTACCTCTTCTCCGGCTTTGTTTATAGATCAGGGTGGTGGTGGGGAAGGTGGGAGAAGCATCCTGGAGGACGTTATGTAGTATGGGAAACATACCAAGATAACTTAAAAACTACTTTTAGGAGTCATCTCTCACAGTTTCCTTAGCATGACTCTATTCCCATTTGTGTGTGTGTGTGTGTGTGTGTGTGTAGTGGGAGAAGCATCCTGGAGGACGTTATGTAGTATGGGAAACATACCAAGATAACTTAAAAAACTACTTTTAGGAGTCATCTCTCACAGTTTCCTTAGCATGACTCTATTCCCATTAGTGTGTGTGTGTGTGTGTGTGTGTCTGTCTGTCTCTCGGTATGCTGGAACCTACATCCACGTGAGATGCGTGCATGCAAGAAGAGTGTGTTCCACATGCTTGCATCTCTGTCAGCATCTGCACTGCACATACCTGTGTGTGTGCACTCACCTCTCCCAAGGCATTTCCCCCCACGTAATTCTGTGCCCATCCCTGTTCTCAAGATATAGAATCAGAATTTATGACTCACTTCCTGCCCAAATGAGTTTTCTTTACCCTGGATTTCGTGCCTAGTCTTTTCTGTGTAGGATGTGTAGAGGGAAGAAAAGATCAAGAAGTTGTGAAGGTTGGAGAACTTACAGGGGGAAGACCTGATCTGATTTAATTTTCTGCTTAGAATTCCCTAAATTTTTCTTTCAAACCCTAGCTTTTGAAATAAACCTTTATTTCCCACTTAACTCTTTTCTTCCTCTTCCACATTATATCCCAATATCCTGGGCACTTCTTCCCCAAATATGCCCCTGAAACTCTGGCTGCTTAATCATGACCTTGGTGGCTTTTACTTAACCTCTGCTCAGCCAAGTTTAGGTAATGATTGAAAGGACAATGAGTAAGCCTCTCTTCCTAAGGGGTACAACTTTTACCACCAACAAACTCAACCTCTTCCCAAGAGGTCACAAAAAACTGTGATCCTCCTTCCAACTCAATTAAAGTCTGGGGAAACTTGAGCAGATAGCTTGCATCTGTTTGACTCCACTTAGACTTTTCCATTTTGCAAAGATGTGCTGTATCTGGTTTCTTCCCTAAAATGTTTCTGCTGGACTATCTGGGCTTGGGGAAAAATAAGAGAGTGCAGGAGAGGAGCAGCAATGAGTTAGAACATCTTAGGCAGGAGGGTGAGAAAGGCTCCGGGAATTTTCCTAGGTGGGTGCCAGGACAAAGCCTCTAAATCTTCTGCCTCCTGTCTCTTAGCAACCACCGGGTTAGCTCCTGATTGGTACATCATAAATTGAAAGGCGGGATTTAGGAATCATTTGAAACTTGGAAGATATTCTGAAACAGAAAGGGAGAAAATGAAGAAAAAGGAAACAAATTACAAACCTAAATTATGCTCAAGTCTCCAACCTCTATTTATAAATGTGTCCTAGTATTTTTTTTTTCTTCTATTTCCTTTCCAGCCTTCTCACAAAATTCCCCCTCCAGCTCTTGATCTCTCTCTCAATCCTACCATAGATGTCAAAGTAAATTAAAGTGGAGACCAAGCCTGAAGTATTCCTGAGAAGACAAAACCAGGTAGGCCTTATAAGTGACCTAAACCTTGCTTGATTTGCAAAAAAACTTAAGTGAAACTTGAGCTATTTCTTATAAATCCCTATAGCAGTGAAAAGCAGAACTTAAGCTCACCCAATCAGAAGTAGCCAACAAACTTATTAGGCACTTTCCAATGGGATAGAACACATAGGCAACTGTGGAACTTCAATCAGTCAAATAATTTCTTTACTTTGCTTCTGTACTTACCCCATAAATAGTTGCTTATGACAATTTGTCATGGGAACATTAAACCTCTTTCAGTTTGGTGTTC